TTAGTATATGAAAAGGCTTTTATTCAATTTCAGAGAGTATTTAGTTTTCAGAATACTTAATATTATGGTGGTGGTGGTGCTTATCTCCATGGTTAAACCAATTCCTGAAGTCCAATCCTCTCCAATTCTGTGATGCTTAATATTATTCATGTGAAAAAAGTATATAAAAACGAGTTCGAAATATGCACAAATTGAATTCTTCTCACTTCTATATTATTAAGAACTAACTCCATCTTTGCCAGTCACAAGCCCGGGTGAAAAAGGAGGAGGGGGAGCAGTAACAAGCTCACTAAAAACCTGGGCTCAGCTGGCCTGGCTGATAGTATCCTGCAAGAGCACCTAATCCAGGGATACAGGATGATCAGCGTTTGTATTCCATGTTAGGAGCGGCTGCACATGGCGTTTGTTCCTCATGTCAGAGGCGGCCATTTATTTTGGAGATAATTCGGACCTGCCACTGAGTAGTGCTCCCAGTCTTAATGACAAAGGCAGACGCATTCTACTACACCAGAGATAATAAAGAAAAATAAATAACACTGCTACTTATAGACAAAGAATTATAAAAAGAGGATTTTTTAATAAAATTTCCAAAGGATTATTTAAAAACTAACTGGAGACTATATTAGTAGACAATGCATGAAGCTCACACTATGTGGGTCTTTGACGAATTTATTCAATTTCTTTTTTGAAGAAAGTTTTACCTTTCAAAATGTACATTATAGAAACTTATGGAAAAACTTAAGGCAGTGGAAAGTATTTGATATTACCAGACGTATGTTTTATTTTAAGGAGACAAAGACAATTTTGTTCAAACTGGTTATCTTGTGTGTCTTCAATAAAGGTCACTTTGTATCAAATATCATTTAGATTTATTGTCTGAATTCTGATATATATGCAAAAATGTACAACATCCTTAAGTTTTTCCATGAGTATATTTTAAACCAATATTTTTTAGATTCGTAATAAAGCAAATTTGCTGCAAATATCTTTGATATTGAATCATTTACGATTTAAAATTTGTATATCCTACTAATGAATTTACTATATAGCTAAAATAGTCTAAAATCATTGTTCTTCAATCTTTTATTTCAAATATAAATGATCTTTGTACAACAAAAAATTATCTTAACATTATTTTATCATCGGCCACTTATAGAATATTAGAAGAAATTCTCTTTCGTAAATTGTGATTTATGCGGTGATAAAATTCACGGTATTATATCCCATAATATTTTCAGTTTCTCTAGGCTATGGAACCAAAGCCAATAAATACGTAGTTCAGTATCAAAGTAACAAATTAAAGATTTACAAGTGTTTTTCTAATTCATTGACCAGTGAGGGATTTATCTACTTTTGTACTATTTATGCACCATCAGTTGAGAATATTCCAACAAAACCTATAAATATTGAGTTATAAATCAAACAAAATATAATTTTAAGACATTCAGTGGTTGCTATGTCTCTCCATTAAGAATAAAAATGGATAATTATCTATTTATCCATTAAAACTTTCCAAAATTATTTACTTTTATTTAAATTTCTAACACCAAGAGGAGTTTGTGAAAACAAAATTGTCTGAATAAAAATAGGCAGTTTCATATGCTTAACAATGTTACAAATCAACGATATAGATGTTTTTTTTCTGATTCATTAATCAGTGAAGCATTTATCTACTAGTACCATCATTTGATGATTTCAATAATATCTAGGAATATTGGGTTAAAAATGAGACAAAATGTTAACTTTAAGACACTTAGTGGTTGCTATGTCTCTCCACTAAGCATGTAAAAACTAATTATCTATTTATCCATTGAAAAACTTAGAAAATTAATTACTTTTATTTACTTTTCTAACCCCAAGAGGAGCTTGTGAAAACAAAATTGTCTGAATAAAAGTAGGCATTTCATATGCTTAATAACGTTAAAAATCAAATATATACAAGTGTTTTTCTGATTGATTAACCAGTAAAGGATTTATCTTCTTGTAACATCAGTTAAGAATATCATTAATATCTAGGAATATTGGGTTAAAATTAGTTAAATGTTACTTTTAAGACATTCGGTGATTGCTATGTTTCTCCACTAAGACTCTAAATAGCTAATTATCTATTTATCGATTTACACTTTCTAAAATCATTTGCTTTTATTTACATTTCGTACACCGAGAAGAATGTGTAAAACAAATTGTTTGAATAATAATAGATAGTTTCATATGCTTAACAACGTTAAAAATCAAAGATATACAAGTGTTTTTCTGATTTTTTGACCTTTGAGAGTTTTATCTACTTGTATCATCTGTTGAGAATTTCAACAAAATCTAGGAATATTGGGTTAAAAATGAGATAAAATGTTACTTTTAAGACACTCATTTGTTGCTATGTTTCTCCACTAAGACTGTAAATAGTTAATTATCCATTTACACTTTCTAAAATCATTTGCTTTTATTTACATTTCGTACACCGAGAAGAATGTGTAAAACAAATTGTTTGAATAAAAATAGATAGTTTCATATGCTTAAAAACGTTACAACTCAAAGATATACAAGTGTTTTTCTGATTTTTTGACCTTTGAGAGTTTTATCTACTTGTATCATCTGTTGATGATTTCAACAAAATCAGGTAATAGTACGTTAAATATGAGACAAAATGTTACTTTTAAGACACTTAGTGGTTACTATGTCTCTCCACTAAGAATGTAAATAGCTAATTATCTATTTATCCATTAGAACCTTCTGAATTATTTGCTTATATTTACATTTCGTGCACCGATAAGAGTCTGCGAAACAAATTGTCCGAATAAAAATAGACAGTTTCATATTCTTAACAACGTTATAAATCAAAGATATACAAATGTTTTTCTGATTCATTGAGGTGAAGGATTTCTCTTCTTGTAACATCAATTGTCAGTTCAACAAAATATACGAATATTGTGTTAAAAATGAGATAAACGATTACTTTTAAGACACTCAGGGGTTGCTATATCTATTCACTAACACTGTAATTTGCTGAATATCTTCTATTTATCCATTTACACTTTCTAAAATTATTTGATTTTATTTACATTCCGAACACCAATAAGAATATGTTCGGAACAAATTTTCTGAATAAAAGAACTCTGTTGATTTTAAAAGTAAAGTATATCTATCAAGTAATATAATATAATTAAAGATAATTTCTTGATCGTCTATTTGATATAGCTACAATAAATTTTCTATTCGCTCATAATATTTGAACGTCAAATGCCGTTTATCTTATTTACACAAAATGCGTTGTTATAATTTCTCAGCGTCTATATTATAGATTATTAATAGCCCCTCGCACATAAAACTTTACACTTCAAAAAGACCGAAAATATGTTAAAATACAAAAGCTCGAACAAGTCTTACGACACTAAAATATGCTATTATAGAATAAGAAGATCAGGAGTCTTATTCCACATTGATATAACCATATAAAATTTGTATAATATAAAAATAATTAATAACTTATTCTTCAATACCACTATTAAAGTTAACTCCGCCTTTGCCGGTTCCAAGCCAAGTTAAAAAAGGAAGAGGGAAAGTAGGAACAAGCTTGGTAAAAAACCTAGGCTCAGCTGGCCTGGCTGATAGTACACTGTAAGGGCTCCTGATCCAGGGATACAGGATAAGTAGCGTTTGTACTCCATGTTAGGAGCAGCTGCACATGGCGTCTGTTCTTCATGTCAATGGCGGCCATATGGAGTTAGGTGAGCCTGCTAATCGATAGTACACCCAGTCTTAATGATAAAATCATACGCATTCTATTTCACCCCATCATTATGGATTTAAAATATCCTTTGTTGATATTTACTCATCCCCAGCAGACACCATCTCAATCTCTACAAGCTTGATACCTTAATATGATTGAATGGAGATGAAAAAGAAGACTAATAAAATTGTCCCTAAGGATACATATACAATTCTGGAATTAAACGTATTTACAAAAGTATGGATGAAGGATATTAAAATGATATTTTAAATTAATATTGAGAAAATTTATAAACTTACCGTAATCCACTATCTTATACTTATTATAGAATTTCGTGATTGCAATGAAATCCCTTGAGAAAATGAAACACTGCACGATGATTTTTTTAATAAGTTGTTGATTAAGGTCATGTGACAGTAGCGGTTTCCGACCGCTACGATCCGGGTTCGATTCCTGCATTGGGCACTTTTTTATGTTAAAAAAAATGCTCCAATGGCCCCCGATTCTTGCAAAAGTTCACCCCACCAGCGAGTGCAAGTAACCAAACGGGGCTCTGGCACATTTGTAAGTGCAAAGTCGAACTGCTTTTCACATGTGTAGACATGTGGTGCACTTACAGTAAAAGCAGTCTCCTACTTCTACCCACCATGATTATCACCATGGCCTGTACCACGTATACTAGGGATAAGCAAAAATATTTTGACAGTAAACAGCCAATAAGAGCGTAAATAAATCAGACCAATATATATATAAACACTAGCGGATGTGTACCCGGCTTCGCCCGGGTTTTATCCGAGTGAAAGTTTGCCTAACGAATATTATATATTATGAAGTATAATAAACAATGCTAAAGATTAGTTTTAATTATTAATCAAGATTGTGTGTGAATATGTGAGAAAGATGTAATATCGTTGTTGTTTTCTTGGCCGACTGTTTTACATATGGTGTTATCTTAAAATTGCTTGTTTTGAATATTTTTTTAGATTGAGTTGAATGAATTGCTGAATTTCTTTTTTGTATTTATATATAAATAAAATTAACTCTGTTGAATTTTTTTGTATTTTATCGATAACAGCAAAGTTATGTATTTTAAAGGTAGGAAAAATATTTTGATGTTAAGCAAAACCTGCTCCATCTCGTTTTACATAAATGTTGAAAATTTGGTCGAAATTGATGCATTGTAACGAAAGTTTTTAGCGAACACCACTTATGAAATTTCCATTTATATAGAAGATATAATATAAATGAGTTTTAAAAATTGTTTAAAAAAAAATGCATCGGCCGGGAATCGAACCCTGGCCGCCCGCGTGGCAGGCGAACATTCTACCACTGAACCACCGATGCTTTAAAAAAATCAAATTCATTTATCGTCGCGACCAGTGCTGCGCCCTAGCGGTAAAAGACTGGAACTAACGCTTTTTGGTTTTTTATTTAAAAAAAAAAGCACATTAACTTTTTTAGTTTTTTGAATAGCCTATATGTTAAACGAAATCTTCAGCTACCTACATGCGAAATTCAATAATGATTGAGTCAGTAGATTTTGCGTGATGCGATAACAAACATCGATTTCGCATTTCATTTTTATATATATAAGGATTTTGCGCTTCATATTATAGTAAGGTGGTATATAAAATGGTGTATAATATGGTAAGGTGTATATATGTTATATTAAAATATTATTTCATTTGAAAATATATTTCAACCACCAAATATATTATCTACCAACAAATGTCGGGACTTTCCCTATATAAAACCGATTGTTGTGTTTCCCGATGGCCGGCTCAAACCTTTTGTACATTATGTAAATAAGTCTTCCATTTTTTTTTTATTCTTACGCATTAAGCCAGACAGTACTTTTATCAAATTATGGTTTTTATATATTCCTTTAGTTAAATTAAAGCAATTACTGATCAAGACTATTGTTAGTATATACTTTTAAGATTTTTAACCACGACTGAATTACCAATACCATTTAGTACAAAAAAGAACCAGCAAATAATTTCCAAAGCATAATCCTCAAGATGATCAAAATCAACAGAAATATCACTTTTATTTATTACATATATATTTCAAATACATATAAAAATGAAATATACAAATACACAAAATAGTTTTAAAATAAATATTTAGGATTTTTGTGTGGTAACAACACAAGATAAAGAGAATTAAAAAAACACATAAATATATATATATAAAATATATAAATATTTAACGAGGTTTGTGGAATATAAAAATAAATGTCCTATTAGCTAATGGGAATGGAAACAACCATTAATTAAAGGGCATCATCATTAGCGAAAACACAACATTCGCAACCTAATCAAATGTTTTTTTCTTGTATTTCAATTTTAAAATTACCTTCGTAAATTCAAAGTATATTTACAACTCTAAGTTAATTCCATATAGCTAATATATGGAAAACGTTATCTGTATATATACACATAAAATAATTATCTAATTAACTAAATTGTAATTTGTGTATATATGTATTTTGTTTATATACCGTTTTTGAACAATATTGACAGCTTAGTAAAAAGTATTTATTTATTTAGTCACCTTTACTTATTTATCCTTAGAACCCGTAGTACAGGTTATGATAATAATGATAGATAGAATATGGCGAATGTTCATACTGTAAATGCATCACATACTCGTATCTACATATGAAAAAACAATAGAAAAAAAAATAATTAAAAAAGTGGGTCAGGTGTTGATATATTGTAAGTGCAAAATCGAACTGCTTTTCACATGTGTAGACATGTGGTGCACTTACAGTAAAATAACTACTTTACCCACCATGATTATAATGACCTGTACCACATATACTAGGGATAATTTTAAAAAAAGGTGTTGATATTAAAAATAAAGGAAGCATATCCTGACCACAAGCACATGTGCTTTTTAGATAGTAAAGCGCCATCTAGAGGAGCAAAAATAAACTAAACGTTTATTTAACTTGCTCTGTGATATTTGGCCAACCCTTGATTTATCAAGAAATTGGGTTGGTCAAATATCACGGAGCAAGTTAAATAAACGTTTAGTTTATTTTTTTCCTCCTCTAGATAGCGCTCTGCTTTCTAAAAAGCACATGTGCTCGTGGTCAGGACATGCTTCCTTTATTTTTAATATCTTCATATGTGAAAAGTAGCTAGATATTTTCATTTTCAAGTGTGTCAGAGCCCTTTTGATTACTTGTATTCGCTGATGCCGTTATACCTTTAAAAGTATCGTGGGTAATTAGAGTATTTTTTTTTTAAATAAAAGAAGTATCGATAGGACTCAATCCCGGCTCGTAGTGGACGAAAACCACTGGTTTACAATGAAACTGAAAGTCGCTAATGAATTCCGTCATCTTTCTAAATAAGTTAATTTCTGTATAATTGGACTAATACATTCACACATAGAATATCTGAAGCGTATTTTGCATTCAAAGAGTAATACATCGAATATTAAACTTGCCATTCGATATGATTTATATTTCTAATCTGAAGCCTAAAAGAAAAAGCATTTGCAACAAAGATATTCATCGATGTTAAGGTATATTACAAAAAACAACAAATTAAATTGTAATGATCATTTAAAAAAGAGAGCCCCTGAAAAGGATAAGGTCCGAGAGAACACACACCTTTAAAGATGTCTTCTTCTTCTTTCTTATCTCCACTCAATCATATTAGGGTGTCAGGCTTGTAAAGTTTGAGATTTGACAACCATCATGATTGGGTGAAGTAGAATGCGTCTGCCTTTGTCATTAAGACTGGGAGCACTACTCAGTGGCAGGCCGACTTAGCTCCAAAAGAAATGGCCACCTCTGACATGAGGAACAGACGCCATGTGCAGCCGCTCCTAACATGGAGTACAGACACTGCTCATCCTGTATTCCTGGATTAGGAGCCCTTACAGGGTACTATCAGCCGGGCCAGCTGAGCCCAGGTTTTTTAGTGAGCTTGTTACTGCTCCCCCTCCTCCTTTTTCATCCGGGCTTGGGACCGGCAAAGGTGGTTAAAGATGTTAATCAAATAATAAAAGATTTTGCCCCAAATCCCTGTCTTCGGTTTTTATACTTCTCATTATCGCTATACTCGACAGCAATTCAATGCAACGTTTACATATATATTTAAATATAAAAAATACATATTTTTACCAGGAGCACGTTAGCGCTTTAGATGGCATATGGCATAGCGCCATCTAGTGGAACAGAAATTAACTAAATGTTGATTTAGGTTGTTTCATAACATTTGGTCAACCACTTTTCTTGATAAATCAAGGAAAGCCAACCACGTAGTCGTTTCAGTATGTTGGCCCTCGTCACTGATGAAGACTGTACTTCTACGATCAATTTTGTTCTAGAGGCTTCCTGAAACCAATAAATAGGTATTTAAGGCCGAATTTACGTTAATACGCTAAACATATGAAAAGGGTAAACGAATGCATCGTCCAGGACACCATCAAAGCACTGAAATAGAATTTGTAGCCGAACACGCCCTATTAACCACAAATGGTGCTTTCAGATTATCATTTTTTCCAAGCTATGTCAAATGACCTAGCTGGACAACACTTAGCCAATTTCGAATAAGTAAAATATTTGTTGGATGAATGGATTCAGTCAAAAGAGGGAAAGAGATGCGTACAATCTAATGAAATTGGTATAATAATACTAGCCTCTGGTGTTTCTTCAGAAATGGTACTGTAATAGAAGAAATGATATATAGACTCAAGAAGTAGAAGGTGGAATCCTCTACAATACATATAAATAATAAACAAAACTACTTCCGAAAATGAGTTTCTTGTTTGAAAAAAATCTCATTCTCGATATTCGTTTTGTTTATTTTATATATTGTTGCATTATGGCTAATGAACCTATTTTATTTTAATTTGTAATATTATTTTTCATATACAGGGTGTACCAGGTAAATTGGGACTAACTTTGACAATCCATAAAACAAAAACTACTTGAGATTAAAAACTTGTTTTTTTTTTCATTACGTAGCCATATTCATGTAAAATGCAACAGTACATGTGTGCGCAGTGTAGTGATGAAGAGTAACCGAGAATTTGAAAATCGAGCTGCCATCATCGTTGCTCTGCGCGCCGGAAGGAGCCCCAAAGAGATAGTGGATTTTCTTAAGTTGCCCAAAACCACTATTTATCGTGTCAAGAAGCAGTTTGATGAGGCCGACAGTAACAAAGAGGGGATAGCTACAAGGAAAAAGCACTCGCGTCGATCGGACAGGGTAAGAGGCGAAGAATTTGTCAAAAATGTCAAGGAGAAGATTGATGGAAACCCTGGGAAGAGCATGAGGGCCATAGCCAAGGAAATGGACGTTGGCTCTATGACAATTGTCAGAACTATCCATGAGGACCTTGGTCTCAAGTCTTATGCCCTTCGGAAAGGTCAGTTGCTGACTGAGAATATGAAGAATAACAGAAAAGGAAAGGCTGCTGCCCTCCTCAACAACCTGAAACACGACTCTTTTGGCATGCTAAGGTTCTTCTCTGACGAAAAGAACTTTGACGTGGACCAAAAGGTAAATCCCAGGAATGATCGCTGGATCTGTAAAGACCCCTCAGAGATACCTGTCGTGATGCACACGAAATTTCCTGCCTCCGTAATGGTCCTTGGCGTTATCAGCAGTGAAGGTGATGTCATGCCTCCCCATTTCTTTGAGAAGGGCCTTAGGATGAACGCTGACACCTACATCAATGTTCTGGAGACCGTTGTATGTCTTCCAACAGGACTCAGCTCCAGCCCATAAGGTAAAAAAGACACAATCGTGGCTGACACTTAACGTCCCTAGTCACTGGGGTCCTGATATTTGGCCCCCTAATTCTCCAGATTGCAATCCCCTCGACTACTATGTATGGGGCGTTGTTGAGAGAGATGTCAACAAAGCTCCTCATACCACCATCCAGTCTGTCAAGAAAGCAGTTCACACGGTGATGACCCAAATGGACAAGGTCATCGTCGCCAAGGCCTGTGCTTCATTCCGCACTCGCCTCGAGACTGTTGTAGCTAATAATGGAAACTACATTGAATAAATAAAAACTATATCATTTTATCTACTACTATGTCAAATTTCATTCGGATATTTTAATTTTTACTTGCAAAAAATTTCAGTTAAAATACCATTGTTGAAATCCCCAATTTACCTGGTACACCCTGTATATATTTTAAATTTAAATTTATATTTTATATTTATTTATTTTATTAAACATAATATATGTATTATAGAATCACCATTTGTATTTTGGTACACTGTGTTACTTCACTGCTCTCTTTGATGTGATAAATAAATAAATTATTCTGGAAGCTACCTAAAGTAGAGTTATCTCATTATTCCCTTATA